ACAACTCACACACAGACACACACACAGACACACACACAACTCACACACACACAACTCACACACAGACACACACAACTCACACACACACAACTCACACACACACAACTCACACACAACTCACACACAGACACACAACTCACACACAACTCACACACACAGACACACAACTCACACACAGACACACAACTCACACACACACAGACACACAACTCACACACACACACAGACACACAAGTCACACACACACAACTCACACACACACAGACACACAACTCACACACACAGACACACACAACTCACACACACAGACACACAACTCACACACACACAACTCACACACACACAGACACACAACTCTCACACACACAGACACACAACTCACACACACACAACTCACACACAGACACACAACTCACACACACACAGACACACAACTCACACACACAGACACACAACATCACACACAGACACACAACTCACACACACACAGACACACAACTCACACACACACAGACACAACTCACACAACTCACACACACAGACACACACACACAACTCACACACACAGACACACAACTCACACACACACAGACACACAACTCACACACACACACAACTCACACACAGACACACAACTCACACACAGACACACAACTCACACACACACAACTCACACACACAGACACACAACTCACACACACACACAGACACACACACAGACACACAACTCACACACACAGACACACAACTCACACACACACAACTCACACACACACAGACACACACACAACTCACACACACAGACACACACACACAACTCACACACACACACACAACTCACACACACACAGACACACACACAGACACACAACTCACACACACACAGACACACACACACAGACACACAGACACACAACTCACACACACACAACTCACACACACACACAGACACACACACAGACACACACACACAACTCACACACACAGTGGGGCTGCGCGCGCTGGGTGGTCTCGCGGCCACGTGACGCAGCCCATGCGCTAATGCGGCTCCATTATGCCGCTTTACTAAAGTCCTTGTAAACAGTCAGTGCCGCGGAGCCTTGTAAACATTTCACGGTGGTCTGCAGGCACATAGCGATTGTACAAATAAAGACGAGGGTGGAGGAGGGGGTGGAGGAGGGGGGTGGGTGGAGGGGATGGGAGAGAAGGGGCCAAACAAATCCGGAGTCTCTGTCGGGGATGAAGGTGGGGGGGTAGCAGGAGACTTGGTGGCAGATTGCTCCAGGGGCTGGGATGGGAAGACATCGTGCCGCGCCACAAGCACCGAGACGCATTTCGTCATGATCATCGTCACGATGGTTTTAATCGTTGTCATCATCGTGATCACCGCCGCCACTATCGTGACCGTGGTCATCATCGTGTTCTTCAGCGTCACCATCGTCATCAAAGAACATCATCAAATTCATTATCCACATCGTTAGTACCACCATCATCTTCAAACAACACCATCATCACCACAAGCACCCATCGTGACATATGCCACCATCATCATCACCACCATCGTGACGTATAGCATCATCACCACCACCACCATAATCGAAATCACCAGCACCATCATTATCATCACATTCGTCAGCATCATCAAGGAACAAAAAAGCACCATCGCTACCATCATCCACATCATCATCAACACCACCATCATGACTCACAACAACATCATCACCACAACATTCATCCACATCGTCAGTACATCACCATGAATGATAATCACCGCCAGCACTCCCACAAACATCAACATCACAAGCACGCCCATCGTCATCATCATCATCATCACTAATCAATCCCATAATAACGTTCATGCTCACCCTCACCATACCATCATCACGATCATCAGCGTCGTCGTCATTATCATCATCATCACCCCCTTCACGATTTTGGGGGTAGCGACAGGCGAGGCTCGACTAGGGCTGAACGATTTGGGGAAAATATCTCATTGCGATTTTTCTGACAGATATTGCGATTGCGATTTGATTTGCGATTAAAATGTTTTAATTCAAGCTTCAGTTCAATATTCACTGTGTAATAGATTTAAAACATGCGATGGAGCATTACCACGTGATACCATCAAAATATGAACTGCTCTATATATTCTAATGCAAGGATGAGAACTTAAAAGATCTGAATTTCTTCCAACATGTATTTATTAAAATGTTTTAATTGAAATAGAACAATCAAACATAGCACAATTGTTAAGTTAAATAAATAAAGTTTCATTTTTTTAAAATCCAATAAGTAATAGGACTTTTCAAATCGCAGCCTTTGCCGATTTGCTAATCGCAGTTTACAATTTCGATTTGAAATCGATTAATCGTTCAGCCCTCGGCTCGACTGCCCACAGCCACCCTCCCCCCCGCTGCCCCCGCCCCCACCCTCGCGTCTCTATTCCAATTTTTTTACAGGGTCCATTTGCGCAGAAAATTGGGTTGTCATAATTGTTTAGAAAGCACGGCTCATTATCGCGAAAGTTAATGTACTGGCACAAAGTGTATTACATATTCGGTATTTGTGTGCGCGCGTGTGCATGTGTGTGTGCGTGTGGTGTGTGTGCTCGCTAACAGCACTTGCTCCTACAGTCTGTCCAGGCTATACGGGGGATCTTTGCCTTTTTTTGGTTCCGGCTAGCGAGTTAGCGCCGTGCTACGAAACCGGCGACCAACGTTGAAACAGTTCTGGGACTCCCCTAAGTCAACTCGGCATTAAATGAGTACCTAATGCTATGTGTAAATAACACACGGGATACAAAGGCGGCCGGGCGTGGTTCTGCTCACCCACCCCTTCGTGTGTCGTGACGGCCTTCATAGGTGCTCGCTAACAGCACTTGCCCCGAGTAATTTAAGCCTCTATGGGGGATCTTTGGCTTTGTTCCGGCTAAGCGTGGTGATTTGCTGATCCGGTCCCGGGCCTCCCCTATTTTTGACTCTGCCTGAAATGAGTAAACCGTGTGCGGACATCAAGCGTCGCCAATCGAGAGACTAAGGAGGTTGAGGAAGGTCCTGGACACATCACACTCCCGTGTGCCATGCCGACCTAAACAGGTGCTCGCTAACATTATTTGCCCGTCGGGTATCTAACTTTTGTTTTAGGTAGTTACAAAATAAAATGAATGTAGGTACTCGTGCACAGTGCCGGATTATCCGAGTAGCAACAGGAGCTACATATGCGACGGGCAACGCACTTGCTCTATCACTATAGTTCTATACTACCTTCAACTTTGATGAACGACTGCGTTTAATGTTAGCGATTTGTCGTATTATCTGGCTGTATTGCAAATGAGAAAATACAATTTCTTTACTATGCAAGTTAAAATATGTGGGCCCCTTTATAACATATGCTACAGGCCCCGCACTAGCTTAATCCGGCACTGCTCACGCAGTATATATTCGTGACCAAATCTATCGGCCACAATTTCAAATTCAGGGCCCTCCTGAAAATGAGTATTGAGGCTCTGTGCTGCTTTCCTGGGTGTATTAAGGGGCATTAACCACAACCGGGATGGCAACGCAGACAGCAGCTGGGTCCTACAGCTCTTGCCTCCGACGGCTGTCAATCTCTTCTTCTCTTTGCCTTCATTCGTGATCCCATTGACACTTTAATCTCGTTTCATAAATGAAAGCTGGCGTTCCCAACCCTTTTGTTATAAACAAGAGTCCTAGCCGTCCGACAACTCCAGGTTCAAGAGGTCACCGTGATCAATGCCGCTGATGCCACGACACCTCGCTCTTGCCCCCGCCCACCCCTTCCTTACCCCTTGCTCGATCTCGTTCCATTCTCTTAAATCGACGTCCACGTTTCCTATCGATTAGTCAATGTTCTCCTCGAGGTACGTTGGTTGTGTCCGGTGCTTTTCATGATCAAGTTCAGTTCCCCCCAACTCCCACGCACCCAAATCACTCCTGCAACCGTCTCTCGTCCACCCCTTCATTTTATAAATTTTGGATCCCGGTTCACCTTCAATCACTGCGCTCGGCTTATATCGTGACCCAGATGTGGGCCCGTTTAGATCAGGAGTTTGTGGTTGGAAGGTCGGTCGAAGCGGAGCAGGCGAGGCTGGGTGGCTTCTTCACACCTCCGCGTGTAAGCCTCGTGGGCTGCTCGAGCCATCAAGGCTTTTCTTTTTCTAGTTTCCGGACGGAACCGTGTGAAGGACGCTCCGTTTACTGGAATTCTCGAGACTTTTAAGTGAATTTCATGGCGCAACTCGGCGGACCCCCCAACTCAGCTGCAGGAACAAAGCGTGGGCGGCCCAGCGGCACCTGTCAGTGCTTAGGCTCAAATATGCGGCCACAGATCTCTCGCACTTCTCCGGATGTGCTCGCCACCTGGTTCACTCTGCGTCCACACTCAGTGGCAGCGGCGGCAGCTCCAGCACAGAAGCCACACACAGATAGACACAAAGACACAGCTCCCCCCACCCACCCACCACCACACCTCCAACTCCCCCCAGACTGTCGGCGAGGATCTACAATAGGCACACGTGGGGGTGGTGTGGTTGGCACAACGCCCGGCCACCTCCGTCTCCCAAGTGATGTTGACACATCACACAAGGTTCTCGTTTGAGTTCGAGTCGAACCAGGAAAGGTCAAGGAGCGGTCCAAATACGTCACTGATATTGGCCGCAAGCAGGAATTGAACCCGTGTCGCCGGGTTCATAGCGCAGCGCGCTAACCGCTACACTATCGCTCCCCATACACACAGACACGCAGCCACAAATACAACCACCACGACCACCCGGCACTACGTGGCATTGACGTCGGCATGCTGCTTGTACCAGACTAGGTGCACTTTGAGGCCCATGCCAAGTGTCGTGGGGGCTCGCTGGCAGGAAGACTCCCAGCTGCCCACCCACCCACCCACGGACACTGACAAACGCACGCACGCACGCACACCCATCTTGCCGCTCGCACGCTCCCACGCACTCTCACTGGCTCGCACACGTCGACTTTTACAGCCGGGACTTTATTATTAACGGGCAATACCTGCGGTGGCGCTCCCGTGCAGCACCCAGAGCGGTGGCTGAGAGCCCAGGCCACCAACCGGGTGTCCCAACTCGACGGCCAAGCGGCCATAACTTCAGTCCGACGTTCGACTTTCTTTTTGTTTTAAATTAACTAGCAACGCGCGCGTTCTTTTGGTCGTGGCCGTCCGTCCGTCTCTTCCTCCCTCCCTACCTTCGTCCAGTCAGCCAGCAAAGCTTTTTGTAATGTAGTTACTAACTTGTCCTCCAATGTTATCCCAATTCTGCTGTCGTTGTCATGCTCTGAGAAGAATATATTCGAAACTCTCGCACAGCAGGGCGACCCGAGGTTAGGGAACAGTCCCGCGGAAGCGGATTTCATAGAGCTACCTCCGAGTGAACTCTGGTCTGCACAGTAGAGGGCAGCACTTCCTCACCTGCTCTGCATTCGGGAACATTCTTCGCCACACCGGTGTATTTATTCCCAGAGCTGGAACTTAGGAAAATGTGGTTCAGAACCAAATTTAATGCGATTTTATGTTTTTAATGCAGTTGTTGATTGGTTAACGAGCCGAGAGGCCATCAACTCGCCACACTTGACGAGCGGTTTAATCACAGTTGAAATCCAGATCGAAACTAGGATCGTAGCAGTGCCGGCTCAGCACTCTGACCTCCGAGCCACCCGTTCACCACGTGACTTTTGACTTCATGCAACTAAAAAAAAACCACCCAAACGGCTATCTTGTAGCTCCTACGCACGAGGGCTGCGGCGTGTCAGTGGCTGTACGACGTGGGTCAGAAGCTTCGCTAATGAGAAAGAAAGACTTTAATACCACCGCTGACGGCACTCGGGTTAACGTCACAGCAAGCGAAGTTATCGCGTCGGCCGTGGGAGTGATGGTAATGCCAGCAGAGCGCTCCGGGGCTGCGAGGTCTCTTCGTACGATTCATGAAGATGCCATGCCGGACGGCTCAGGGACACAACAGCGTAGGAATCGCGCACATGACGATTCAGCACCTTTCGCAATTCCACGAACCATTACGATTCGCGGTCACAAGATTCCCATATTGATCATTATTGTTTGGCCAGCGTGGGGAATACAGTGGCCTCCAGTGACTTGTGGGAATTACGTGAACCAATTTACAATACACGCGAATTAAATGCGATTCTCGCAGCACGGCTGCATAGTGCGGTGAGTGCACGGTTCGATCTTAATCGACGAAGCCAGTGCATCGCCGCACACCTTCAAAGGGCGTATCCACAAGACAACGAGATTTATGTATTTTGAGTGGCATCCCGTCCTTTGAAAATAAAAAGCAGCCCCAGAGAAAATCGAAAGGAGCTTCATTTTTTTTTTTATACACGCACGTGAAACCACCCATGACCGAATCGCTCGGACAGCGCCCGATGTCTTCCGATCTCGGTTGCCAGGCCACATTGGGCCCGGACGGCACTTGGATGGGCAATGGCCGGTCATAAAACAGGCGATAGAGGATGTCAGGGTTGTGGGAAGCAGACGGTAGTGTAGCAAAATTCATCGTTGTATTGTAGCTCTACACTCCGATGATTACGCTCCCCCGTCTTCACCAACCCGCACTGACCAGCGTGGCGAAATACGGTAAAAAAAATTAACCTCCACGACCCGCACGGCGTGGGGGCCTCCATCCAGTGGTGGATTCACACAAGCGGCAGCTGTCGAGGTGCATCATGGATCCAGGCAATGGTGTGGTCGGCGCATGCGATAATGAGAGCGGAACGGTGGCCGATGTTAACCGCCAGAGGGATGGCCCCACGCGGGAGAGCGACCCAGCGACACGACCTCCCTCAGATCTCCATCATCTGCTCACTGTTCACGATCACCTCGTTCGTCCGCTTGGCTGCGGTGGGGGGGGGGGGGGTTGGTGGGGCAGTGAGAGGGATGGGATGGGGGGAATGGGGCGGCGGAAGAGGTAAGGCGAGCAAAGTTAACGAGCCACCGACAGCTGGTGGAAGAACCCGGCGCGTATTATTGGCCGTCCGACAAAACTGGCGCAAGCGCGTGGCGTGAAAGATTACAACTCACAGGGCGCATTCCTTTGTACGGTCGCACGCTTACAACGTGCCAAGCGCCTACGACAACGTGCGAAGCGCCTCGAGACGTGGTGACAAAGACAACACGCACTACGGCACTGACCGCGCGCTTCCACCAGGATCTGGCTTCCCACGAGGCAGTCCTTGAGCTCAGCCCCCTTCTCGATGACGGCGCCCTCGCACACCACGCAGCCCGTCAGGGTGCACCTGCGTGGGGGGAGGGGGCGGCGGGGGGAGGGGTGGGCGGGGGGGGTCACAAGCCAAGTGAGGATGAGGCGGTGATATCTGGGATATTCAAATTGTTCAGCAATCGATTGTTCTCCCGATCACCTGTTCGATTACTCGACCAATATGGTAACACGCGTGCCACTGGACGGGAGCTGACGGGCGTAGGGCTGGGCGATGGAATCGCCATCATCGGCTGCAACGTGGCTCGAAGCGGTTTCCCGCCTTTGGGGAAAATTCGCCGATTACGATTTAAAGTCGATCGATCGGTCCGCTCGTCCCAGCGCGAGTCTGCTCAACGGCACGAGACGAGGATCCACGAATTCACCCTCCCTGTGATACGATCAATCGTCGTGGTCCAGGGTCGCCACCCAGCTCCGGAGCACCGCTGCCTGCCCCCCCGCCCCCTCAGGAGTGCCACCCTGCCTGCGAGCGTCGCCTCACCCCTCCTGGACGGTGACGCGGTGCATCAGGATGGAGTTGGCGATCTTGCAGCGCTCGCCGATGGTGCACACCTCGCCCACCACGCTGCGCTTCACCGACGTCCGTTCGGCCAGCGTCGTCTCGTGCCCGATCATACTCTCGGAGCCGACCTGGAGACGCAGTCACCGCACGGCGTCACACCGCCAAAGACGAAGATTCTCCGTGTAGCCTTAACAGACTGTTGGGGGCTAAGCTGCCAGCGGCAGGCCACGGAACTCGCCCGACGCCGTCGAGAGGTTCGAGTCTCTTCCACCATCCGAAGCCACCCCCCCCCCCGCCCACAACTGGGTTCCCCGTGATTAAAGGCGGAGGGGGACCACCGCGCGGCAAGGCGGTCGGCTCACGACCTCGCGGAAACGGCTCGCGCGTGCGTCGGCGGGAGGGCGCGCGAGCCGCGCCGTCGGGTGGCGCGGCCCGGCCCGGCGAGGCGAGCGCCGCCCTCCGAGAGGTTAAAAACACGGGGCAATCGGCGCAGCTGTGAACAAATTGAAGATGCACCCCACCCCGCCGCGCCCGCCGTGCCCGCCCGCCCGCCCGCCCGCCCCGTACTCGCTCGAGGAACATCTGGTACGGCTTAAGACACTGGAGGCGAAAGCTCGGGGAGGGGCGGACGGGTACGAGGGAGGGAGACGGTGGCCCCAGGGCGAAGGGCGGCACTGCCGCGAAGGGCGGTGGTGGCATGCGAGGGAAGAGTGGCGCGCAGCAGCGACAGAGGCAGGGCTTGCACGCTTGTATTTATTTATTTTTTAAACAATCAAAATAGAATAGTTTACTTGTTTAAGCCACACCGAGTCGTGGGACTCTTTTCAGGAGGGTCCTGGCATTGGGTGTTCCATTTTGTTTTCAAACAATTAGAGCGAGTTCTTATACCGGAGCACCCAGCGAAAACGGACGCTCAAGAGGGGGCGACACTCTATCCCCGTGCAGATGGAAACAGACGGCGAATGGTCCACTTGGTGTACTTCCATCTCCTGGCGAGCCAGGGTTACGTGCCAACTTGATGCCCACGGGAAGGGAGTTTCACAACACTGGTGCGATCCACAAACCCTCGCTGCCTCCACAGTGCTGGATTACAGGCGTGCGCCACCACCGCACACACACACGCACACACGCGCGCACGCAGAGATGGGTACCTGAGATTTATCTCCGAGAGTGGCACACGGACTGATCATGGGCTCGTCTGCGCCCAGGATGAGTGATGGTAGAGCTTTGGGAACCTGGCAGATATCCAGGCACATGAACAAACATGCCAAGAGATGGGTGAACAGACCACCACACAAACACACCACTATACCACCACACCAACACACAACACCATCACGCACAGCAGCACCACTACACAAACAAAACGATACACAAGGACACCACAACACAAACGCACCAACACACAAACACCACCACTCAAACACACCAATACCACCACACACAGACCAAATACAAAGATCCCCCGTATAGCCTTAACAGACCGTTGGAGCAAGTGCTGTTAGCGTGTAGCACCTATGCACCACACAAACACACCACTACACAGGGGATGCCCGGGACGTTCAGATTGCAGTGCGCTGAGCTGCCAACGTCGAAACCCTGGGTTCGAACCTGGACCCCAGCGCAAAAAATACCATCAAATTATTTTAGGTTTTTTTAAATTTGAATGTGAAAAAATTCGAGCTGAGACTTAAAATGCTCTCTTAGCACGCAGCACCAATGTCACCGTAGCGCGAGCGGGAAAGTGCGCCCCCCCCGTTGTCGAAGGGTGACAAAGAGACCGTGAGAAAGGTGTTTCAGAAGTTCTGTGAAAATCTCTTGCGCAGCTGCTGTTGGGTTCATTGTCCCATGACATGACGCAGAGAGTGCACCAGAAATAAAGTTGGGAAAACACAAAAAAATACCGCGCAAACACACAACCGTAGAATTCAATACATGACCACACCACTGTACACCCACACAAAGCAGAAATAAAAAGACAAAAAACACAAAACAAAGACAAATATCCCCCGTATAGCTCGTAACAGACTTTTGGGGCAAGTGCTGTTAGCGAGCACCTATGGCACGGCACACCACACACCAGGTACTCATTTGAGGCTGAGTAGACCTAGGGGAGGCTCAGGACCAGTTCAGAAAATCGTCGTCACTGGTGTTGGCTGAAAGCGGGAATCACACTCGTAGTGCAGTACGCTAACCGCTACACTACTGCACACACAACCACACAAACACACCAACCAACCCATAAAAAAACCAAAACTCGGGCAATGGCACTTCTTGATTGCAGAGAGAGAAGAAGAATTGCCATCGTCCCTTCCAGCGACACAGCTCGGCCCAGACCAGCAACGACGCCTGTAACTCGCATGCCTTCTCTAAATCATCGGCTCCTTTTCCTGCCCCCTCTCCACGTTTCTTTTGCACATTTTTCAACCGCCGGTTACAAATTTCTTCATCAATCGGCGTGTTTTGCGACCCAGGAAATACTGCACCGGTTGAAAACTTTCTTCTTCCGGCGCAGCGGGATGTTGCACTTTTTTCGCGAAAATGAAAATGGTTTAACACGGATCGGCCGGCGCTGCGATGAAGAGTCACCACCGCCCCCTCCCCCCCCGTTAATGGGGTGGCAGCCAGGACGAGTTTCGCTGCTTCATCTCCAGGAGTTGAGAAGGATCCAGGTTTGCGGCGCCGGAAGATAAACATCGCGGCGGAGAGAAGCGAAGGGTCTGCCGAGTCCCACATCCGAACGCCAACGTCAACAGCGGCGGTCTCGGGGCCCCGGAGGCGGCCTGGCGTGGATCGCCGCCGCCGCCACCGCCGCTGTTTGAAAAGTCCTCGCGCCGCCATCAGTTTGACGGCCGTGTAATCTTAAACCGCATTTTTGACGTTATTATTACTACTTTAATTCCTTTTTTTTTTCATGACCCAACAGCAGTTGATATATCACTCTCTACCAACGCCCACCACCAAAAATGCTCTGGGGGATGGCCATATATATGTATATGTTTTATATATATAGAAAGTGACTCTGCGCAAACGTTTAAATGGGTTATACACAGGTGACCACGTGGCGCTGGGGACACGGAGTGGCGCTGGGGACACGGAGCACTGACCCAGCAGTGCTAATTTCCTGGGTTGGAATCTGGATCTCAGCCACTCGTGATTACAACTGGGTTCTCAAGCCGTAGCGAGTTGATGGTTTCAGCCAGCACACCAATGACTGTACACAACAAACACAAAAAACAAACCTATCACGTTAAATTTGGATTTTCACTCAAATTTGGCTAAATTCCAGTTTGACCGCTACGCGAGGATGATTTCTCTGCGCAGCAGAGTGCGTTAAACGGCAGGCTCCCTCGTGTGAGTTTGGATACAAAAAAGATCACTTTAAAGGAATCTCATAAGTAGTTCTGCGATATCTACTTCTGCACGTAATTCTTTAACACACGGGGCTCCCCCCCCCGTCCCCTCCTCCTCAACTGTTACTTCGCAAGACCTTAAAAGGTGACGACTTTCATCGAGCAGTACATAGACCATGGCTGATGATAATGGTGATAACAATGAAGAACTCTTCCACGATTAACCACTTTTATCGTGGTTAAGAAGCGCTATCTGAAAAGCAGCCTTCCCCATTGCTGCCCACGAACCCGGCTTCCGTGACCCCACCCCGTGTGACCCCGTGAACCCCCCGACCTCCCGACCTGCTTGTTGGCCTCGATGTAGGAGGCGAGGGAGTTAGCGCGCATGCACAGGGAGCCGGCCGGCGCCTCCAGCAGGTAGCAGCGCAGGCGGTCGCCGGTGCCGCGGAACGACGACTTGTCCCGCGCCAGCGCCTGCATGGGGTCCTCGCGCACGTAGTCGTGCACGTCTGCGGCGTGGGGGGAGGGGACAGGGCCGTCAATGACGTCGAAGCGATGGTGGCGGTGGTGCCAGGGAGGCCACAGCGGTAACAGCGGCAGAAAAGTAGCGCCAGGAACGCCAACAGCGACAACAGAAGCAAACGCAGTAATGGCAGCAAGGGCAGCAGCAGCAGCACAATTACGAGCAGCATCGGCAGCGCAGGTAACAGTAGCGAGCCCGTCTAGGCGGCCCGGGGGGAGGGGGGGGGGGGGGTCGCACCTTGCCGGCCGCACACGGGCCGGTCGGCGCCGTCGTCGTCCTCCAGGCTGGCGGAGCGCCGCGGCGCGCGGGAGAATTGCTTGCGCACCAGGTACGGCACCAGCTCCCCCTTGAGCGTCGACATCGAGCTGCGTGGACGGAGCCGCGGGGAGCCGCGGGGGACGAGAGAGAGGGGGGGGGGGGGGGAGACGCGTGAGCGAGCGCGACGACGGTCGTCCGGCGTCGCCAAGCACCGCACGGCTCGTGCCGGTGCATCGCCATCACCACCACGGTCATCATCACCATCGTTAACCATGCTTTATTCGCTGCTGGATGAAGGCCGCCGCTCACACGGAGTTGGCGGAGGAGGTCTGTTTGTTCGTACTTCAACTGAGCTGGCGAGCGTGGGTTCGTGCAGCTCGCAAGATAGATAATATGTCCGAAAACAAACACAAGCCAAACGGATAAATCTTACAGCGACATGTTCCGTGGAAACTGCAAAAAAAGTGGGCGCTGTAATCTCTGCACCACCTTCCAGCAACTCCTTCCTTCCATCCAGGCCGGCCGGTCACCACAAGGACACGGCCACGAGCAATACGTTGTGCGGTAGTGGTGACCATCGTTGGCTGCGGTGGAAAAGATCAAAATGCCCCTTGAATTTCGTTGAGTTCTGATCAGCAATCCGATAGATGCGAAGTGTAAAGAAACTCAACAGAGATGGTTGGGTTGTCACGTGAAGCGCAGATTCATGTGCAGGAGGCACCGTGTTAAAAAAAAAGATTTAGGGCCCAACCATGGCAAATGCGAATCGGCGAGCTGATTTCACAACCAAACTAATGAACCCGAGGAGGTTCTTCCTGTTAGGATTCATCGGGGAAAAAAAAACTTTACCCGTAGACATTTTTCGAGATTCGATCATTTGGACTGGCAGCATCCACGCGAGGACCGCCCCGGACAGCGGGACACGCTCGCGTATAATGCCAGGGCCCCTCACACCTCCGATTAGCACTGCTGGCTACGTTCGGTGGGAAAGAAGTTCAACATGCATACGTATACATACACGTCCGCCAAGCGGAACGCACGCAGCGCGCGGCAGCTGTACGGGCCACGTCGGGAGCCTGACATTTGGCCCCCGGGGGTCAACGTAGAATCAAAATAACGTGTTTGTGGGGGGGCGGCCGCCTGGATGACCCCGCGCCGTGGATCTTTCCCTAACGAGCTGCGGGGTCGGCAGCTGCGGGCAGCGTACTTTTGACGGCGCCGGTCGGAGGTTCGTGTCCAGTGTTTCCCGTGTGCCGATGCCCACCCCCCCCGGCCGCTGGGGGGGGGGGGGCAGCTCGAGGGCACCTATATCGGGGTCGGTGGTCGGGGGGGAGGGGGGGGGTTGAGTGGGGCGGGTGGGGGGGGATGAGCGAGGGAGCGGACGGACACGTCGGGGGACAGCTGGCGATGCCGTCAACGCTCGCTGTTCGCACGCCCCGCGCGCCGCGCGCCCTTGGCGGGGGAAACTATGGCAGGCATGTGCAGTGCTCAGCGAGGCTGTCGCCGGGCGAGAATGAAGCCATCACTCACGCGCACGCACGCGCACCCCATTTAGTGCGGGAGGGGGGGGGGGGGTCGAGAACACGAGCCGAACGCGGGAACGGGACTGACGGTCTGCGATCACGCGCGCGGGATCCGTTCGCGACTGCGTTCGTCCGTGCCCACGTATGCGGTGGGTAGTAGGGGAGGCGGGCGTTATTGGCGGATCAAAATATCCACGTTCATTCGGGGAATCTGCTCCTGTTACCCGTAGCATGCTTCGCAGATATACACAGATAACCGGATGGATGTGCTGCCACATCAAGCTCATCTCACCTGCGTAAAGGTATGGGTAATGCAATGAAGTTGGCATTTTTCAGAGAGGCCAGTTCCAGTCACACGTCTTTTCTGCGAGAATAAGTACAGAAAATAGGAGGAATTTGTCGCCACCGACAAATAATCATCAATGTACGGATAACAGCATTTCTGAGAATCGTTATGGGGGTGCAGATATTAGATAGCAGGAAGAACGGCTGTTCGGGGCAATGGAGGAGGAGTCTCACTGTTATTATTATTTCTATTTTGTGCTGATTGTCTCTGCTGTAATATTGGGGGGGGGGGGGGGGGGGGGGGGGTGGGGTGGGGTGGGATGATTTACAGAGGATGAAGATGGGAGGAGCTGGCAGGGCCTGAGAAAGAGAGACAGAGAGAGAGAGACAGAACGGAAAGGGCTCCAATTTGTCCGAGATAAAAAGAGCAGAAAGTGAAGGAAGAGCAAAGGCTCGACGAGCTTCTCCAGAAACACGGCGCATCAGCCGCCGCCGCCAAAGAACACACCGCTCGCTGGCGCACAGCACGGCACCGCGCGTCACGAACGTCGTAATCCCAACGTCCACGCGTCCGCTGAGGAGACGGTTGCGCCGAAATCAGCTCACTGTTGTGTGCGGGCTCCTGGGTGGGGTTGTTACATCGTCACAGAAACGTTTTTAGATATGATGATGGTGGGCTTGGGGAGGCCTTAAACATGAAAATGTTTTCCAGCACGGAATCGTTATTGCGCATTATTCTTGACGCTTGGAGGGGAACGGCGGCAATATTGCGAGTCACGAGAGTGCGTTTTCATTCACAGCGCCAGGAAATAAACCCAGATTTCTCATTTAGCGGCTAGACGACTTCTGACTGCAACACAGACAATCGCCGTCTTAAGACCGCAAGAAAGCCCAAAGGCTGGAATCACTGCACACACAAACACACGCGGCGTACAAGTTATTTACTTATAATATCAGTGCATTTTTCTGCATTTGCACATACAAATATTTCACAGATAAACAAACTTGAAAGAGTGGGGGGGGGGGGGGACCGAGTTGTTTTTTTTATCCAGTAATGGAGTTGTGAGCGCGAGAGTTTAAGTGTGACACACACCAGCTCGCCGCTCGCTCCATATTTTTCCAATCTCCCCACTCGCTCCTCCCTCGGGTGGGTGGCCGCCACCCACCGCGGAATTTTCTCCACAATTTTTACACAGCGGCCTCCAATTCCCCATCCATAAATGACGCTTGCGGATCACGTTTGCCAGCACCGCGGAAGAAACCAATTCATTTAAAAGGATAACATATACGTATATAAAAAAAAGAATAATAGGCGTTCACAAGCGCTGGCGAGTGCGTTACGGCAGACAACCCTGACTGCTACTGTCCTCCTCCTCTCCTCGTCGCTGATCGTCACGGTCGCGCGCGCGGTAACGGCGATACCCCCGCGGTGGTGACTACGATATGGCCGTGCGTGTGGCACGGATGCTCGTCTCCCCCGCCGCTCGCACGTACGCGCTGGCGCACCTGTGCAATGTTGGCGGTGTCAACTTTGACCCCCTCTGAGAGGCACGAGAATCTGCGGCATGGTGACCACGGCCCAGCACCTGCTGCGTACCGTGGCCCGGGCTGCACCGTGACCCCGGGCGGCCGAGGCATGCTGCCACGGAGCAGGTGGCGGTGGCAGTAATGGAAGCGGCCGGTCGAGTGCGCAGGTCAAGCGGTGTCCTCGTGTGAAGGGACTACGGCCTCCGAACCCGCGATGCACCTCCCGCCCAGAAGCTCGCCCTCAGTATTTATCGAGAAAAACCTCACAGAGCCTCAAGACTCTACTTTAAGTGGTTCCGGCTACATGGGGCTGTTTGATGACATCCATTCATGAGTGTTGGGCTTCACGTGGGAGAAAACCTGAGAAAACCTATGATGCACATGAGGAGACAACAATTACAACTCAGCACAGACGGATTCAAGAATTAATTTTCTGTACTTCCACCTGCTGGCTGCCTCGCAGGCGAAGTTCACCACACCTCCCATCAAGGTACTAACCAGGCTCAACCCTGCCTAGTGCCCGAGAGCTGGTGGAATCGGGCCCCATCAGGGTGATTTGGTAACCCGCTAAATCACCGGTGCTGGCACGAAGAGCACCAGGAGAAGAGCCACGCTGCGTGAGGGAATGACACTGAAAAGTGCGCACGGACAGGTTCACAAAGTCGCTTCCTGAACTGCGGTAGCGGCCCTGGGCACCATGCCGTCGACCACACAACAACCTCGTGCTGTGGGGTTGGTGGGTGGTTGATTGGTTGGGCGGGTCGGTCGGTGGGTATATATGCAATTCACCGGCTCTCAGACAAAGCAACTGAATGGCCAAATCACATAAACTGGAATTCTTGCTCTTCATTGGCCACACAAAATCATCATCATTAGCTTGTAGCTACTTCACAGCCCAGCATGGCTTGGGTTTCTACGATTTATTTATTCGTTTCAACCTCTGCACGATTGACCGACCTTGCGTCCAAAGAGCGCAGCAACGTGCATGCGCCCGAATGGCCGGATATGAAAAAATTCTTTAGCAGGTGGCGTGAACATCGGTGGATCGTCAAACTAAGCAAAACTGAACGCAGGTCAGCGCAGCCCTGACCTCGTTGCGGGAGATCTCCCTCAGTGTCGAGCAGGAGAGAGGAGGAAATGGGATGTTCATCGGCTCTCAGGAGCCAGGACGCGCTCATGCGCTCGCACCACAAATACCCTCGCGAAAAGCACCGCACGATAAAACACAAACAACTTCCATTTGCAAGGCGCCGAGTGGTGTAAGCAAGCGTCTCGAAGCGCCGCAAAGTAAAGCCTGCACAGGAAGGGCAGGTGAAATTATTCACCCAGCTCCTCCCAGCCAGTCCTGTTCAGAATCACAATCGAGGGTCCTTTTTAAATTCAAGAATCCATTCCTTTTTTTCCAACACTCCGGTGGATGTAGTGGCCTCTAGTGGCTGGAGGAAGTCACGTGAACCCGCTGCGTGCGAATCAAAATGTAGACTCTTACGCGTGCGCTATAACGTGTGCATCGCAAGCTCGAGATGCTACACCCGATCGATGAAACGATCCTTTAAATCATCTTCCACAGCCCATACTCGGCTCGGATGCGGCGTGCGTTAAGTATGTTGAGGCTTCTGCCAGCAACGGAAAAGCCTACTTATTTGCGGTTACGTTTGGAGGTGAAACTTTACTAGCCAGCTCGTTTTACAACCGTGTTGCGCGACGCAAGCACGGACGTGCGGTTTGGCCTCAGCGTCGCCACGGGAGCTCCAGCTCGCCGCTGAGACACA